ATATTTGAACTGCTGCTGTTCCAGAGTTTGCTCCTCCCTTTCCCCTGCCCGCCCCAAGGCTTTTCCTCCCCAGATGCTGTTAGGAGAAGGAGATGCTCCTGGCTGCAGTCCCACCCACTATGCAGGACCCTGGAGCTCAGTTGTCAATAGCATCCTGGGGTGACTGGGAGGGTCTCTGCTTCCTTCCAGACAATGACTCTGATGCGATGAGCAGCTCCTATGAGTCATATGATGAGGAGGAGGAGGATGGGAAGGGCCAGCGGCTGACACACCAATGGCCATCAGAGGAAGCTTCTATGAACCTGGTGAAGGACTGCAGGATTTGTGCCTTCCTGTTGCGTAAGAAGCGCTTTGGGCAGTGGGCCAAGCAGCTAACGGTCATCAAGGACAACAAACTCCTGGTGAGACTTCAGCTCGCTGAGTGCAGGGGGACCAGGGCACAGGAAAACTTTGGGGAGATCTGGAGTCTGAGAGATCCTGGGCTGACGAAACAGGGAGTATCCTGTGTATAGGGTGTGGGTGAGCTGAGACATCTTGTGTTGGGAGCATCGAAGGACAGTCAGGGATTGGCAAAGCTGCTGCTTTCAAGTGGACTAATGCTGCATGTTCAGTGAATTTATTTAAGAGTAAATGAAAGACTGTCTCCCCCATGGGGATGTGCATGGAGCTGGGACTGCCTCTATGGCAATGTCACATATCTAATCCATGTCTGCTGCACAGAATGGCAGCACCCCGAAAGCATTTATACCACAAGGCCCACAGTCTCCGTCTACCCAGAAGCCATCTGGGTTCACCCTGTATATTTAGCACTGGGGAAATTAATGCAAAGCATTGTGGGTAAAGTCCTCATGCAGGCTGGTTACCTGGGAGACGGTTCTGTTCCTGGCTCGGGGAAGGGGGTATTGTCTATTGGTGAAGCAGGGTCTCCTGGATTCTGGTCATGGCCCTCCCGGTGACTTTGGCTGAGTCACTTCCCTGTAGCTTCCTCCTCTGTGAAATGAGGCTAGTGATACTGTACCATCTCTGTGAACTGCTACAAGGTCACTAGACCCTGCCCTGGGTAAGGGGCAGATAGAGCTTGAGCAGGGGTATTCCCCCTGTGTGCTAGCATGCTCACTGCACAGCCTGGCGAGCAATGCAGGCAGGTCTTGACCCCATCAGAAACAGTTCTCTCTGCTTCTTCTAGTGCTATAAAAGCTCCAAGGACCGGCAGCCACACCTGGAGGTGCCCCTGAGCACCTGCAGCGTCATCTATGTGCCCAAGGACGGGCGCCGCAAGAAGCATGAACTGCGCTTCTCTCTGCCGGGGGCTGAGGCTCTAGTGCTGGCAGTGCAGAGCAAAGAGCAGGCTGAGGAGTGGCTGAAGGTACCTCTTGCTCAGAGCCAACTTAGCCTTTCTTCCTAGCCTATGCCACTGCCACACAGCTCCCGCCCCTCACAAAATCCAGCCTTCCCCCATTTGACCAGCCTTTCCCCTTCTGGTCTTTATACATGGCCCAGCTCCTGTGACTCCTGCCTGAAATAAGTGGGTAGGTAGGTAGCTCCTTCATGGGAAAGGCCTGGCTTCCAGTGCTGCCTTATCTCGGGGGAAGGGGACTTTCCTCCCATCTTTTATCATTCCTGCCAGACTGGGACACCAGCTGTGGCGTGAGCCCTCCAGCCAGTGCTGCAGGCCCAGGGAGCTGCCCCCCCTTTCCGCTTCCTTGTGTGATAGTTGGAGTCTCATGGGCAAAGGGAGAGGGGGGGCTGTTTGTTTACCCTCCCCTTCCTTTTTCCTGCCTTTGTTCTGCTGATGGGAGGCTGTATGGCTAGGAAGCTGTTTGGTGAAGTCACAGGCTCTGCCTCTGAGCTGGCAGTATGTAAACAGGAGCACATTTAATTAGCACCACTGCACTCTCAGGGAGCATGAGCCCCTGCCCACCCCAAATCCACTGATATGGGGTGTTTCACGGCTGAGAGACTGGGATACCAGCCTTCCCCATTCCCCCTCTTCCCCAACTGCACTTACCCAGCCTGGCTTCTGCATCTGCCTTGGAGAAGGGCTGTGGGGGATGGGGTGGGATTGGAGAACTTCTCCCAGGCTGAACCTGTGTGGAGACTGGCTGGTCACCCTTCTTGCTCACATCGTGCTTATAGCAGCTTTTTGTCACCTGTCTCCTTTTGCTGAATGGCAGGGATGGGACACAGGAAGGCTGAAGAAATGCAGGGCAGGTTGTCCTCATGCCATGACCATCCTGATGGATGGGCATCTCCCCAGAGCACGGCTGGTCAAGGCCCAAGTCTGGGGGCTCAGGAGATGATGGTTCAGTTCCCTGCTCTGCTACAGCCTTCCTGGGGATTAGGACATAAAAGACTGTGAGGTGCTCAGAAGCTAGCTGTGGTGATGGGGTAGTATAGGTACCTAGGGCAGAACCCCTGCAGGAGATGGCTGGAGCCTCCTAGGTCAGCCAGCTGGAACCCAGTATGCCTCTGTGACTGTAGTCTGAGTCCTAGTTACATGTCACTGAACCTTTAACTGCCAAACTGTTTATTATCCAACTAGTCAATTAGCCCGGCATAAAACGGGATTTTCAGGTCTCTCCTCCACGTCCTATTCCCTTTCTATCTCGGTCTTCTCTCCTGAGCCTCCGGTCTCTCGCTCCGTCTCTCTCTCTCTCTCCTCCTCCTCCTACTGCCTCCCCTTCTCTCTCTCTCTGGGTATGTCTACATTACCCCGCTAGTTCGAACTAGCGGGGTAATGTATGCATACCGCACTTGCAAATGAAGCCCGGGATTTGAATTTCCCGGGCTTCATTTGCATAAGCCGGGCGCTGCCATTTTTAAATCCCGGCTAGTTCGAACCCCGTGCTGCGCGGCTACACGCGGCACGGAGTAGCTAGTTCGGATTAGGCTTCCTAATCCGAACTAGCTGTACTCCTCGTGGAATGTACTCCTCCTAGTTCGAATTAGGAGGGTAGTGTAGACATACCCTCTGCTCTCCTCCATCTCCTGCCTCTCTCTCCATCTCTCTTTCTCTTCTCCTCCCACTCCTGCCTCTCACTCTCTCTTTCTCTTCTCTTCCTCCTCCTGCATGGGGAGCGTGGAGCCCAAACGGCTGTTTGTGCCACTTGCTCCCGTGTGGCAGCCCAGCTCAGTGGCTGCCTCTGAGCTCCAGCTGTCCCCCTGCACCGTTTCCCTTCACCCCAGCACTGATCCTGCAGCCTCCCAGTTGTCCTCCACCTCCCTCTCCCCCTTGTTCCCCTGTCCTTCCCCCGGCCATGGTCTGTTTACAGCCAAGGGGTGGGGCCTGGAGCCGCTGTCATGCTGCACGTCACCACCCCGCCCCCCTTCACCTCCTGCCGTAGCACTTGGCTGACTTCTGCGCCATTCAGCCAGGCTGCCGCGGGGGAGCAAGTGGCGCAAGTGGCCGTTTGGGGTCCGCGCTCCCCATGCAGCACCCCCATGCTGCATGGGGAGCACGGACCCCAAACGGCTGCTTGTGCCGCTTGCTCCCCCACAGCTGCCCAGCTGAGCAATGCAGAAGTCAGCTGCCATGGAGGGAGGCAACAGCGCCCCCAGAGGCAAAGTGTAACGCTACAGCGTTACAGACTCACAGACACTGGGCTACTATATATATGATATGGGACTTTGTTGAGGGAGTTTTCAGCAAACCCTGTTCCAAAGGGAGATTTTCAGGGCAAACGTGCTGCTCTGGAAGGCTGCAGGGAGCGGGATCCATTGCTTGGGGAAGGGATCATTCATAAATAGCTAAGACACAAAGCTGTTTGCTGTAGCCAGGTCAAGCAGTGTGGTCAAAGCTCCCCTGTTCCTGGGGTGATGACTGGGGGCTGAGTTGCTCCCAGTGGATCCTGTGATGCCAGTGCTAGATGGCCTGTCTCCACAGGTGATGAAGGAAGCCAGCAGTGCCAATGGAGCAGGAGCAGGTGGGACTGAAGCCCCTACATCCCCTGTGTTGCATTGCAAGATGGACCTTGACAAGGTGTCCTGTTCTGTCTTCCCCCCATGCCGCTAGAGAGTGTGTGTGTGTATGTGGGGGGGGGGGCTGGGGTTAGGGATACCCAGCAGAAGGGAACGGTGACTGAACTCATGGGAATCAGGGCTTGGGAGCAAGACTGATTTTGTAACCCAATGCCTGCCTGGCCTTTCTGTGGCACCCCTATGACAGCAGAAGGGGCTCCCTCTCTGACCATAACAAAGAGCCAAGACCCACTCCCTTGCCAGCCCTAGAATGGAGATGGGGGGTTTCTTGAGGGAGGGGGGCATGTGCCTTTTTCTATCCTCCTGCTGTGTGCGGGGGGGAAAGGCTGGACACTGGCCTTTGCCAGACTCGCAGAGCTCAGTGCAGCACTGAAGTGGCTAAAAGCTGGGGGGAGCCAGGGGAGGAGGAGGTGGAGAGAGGAGCTGCACTGAAATGGATGCCTGCCCTCGTCCCCACAGAGGTTATCACAAGACAAACAGACGTCCGACTCGGACAGCGTGGCAGCAGGAGAGAACTGCACCCCAGTGAGCCGGAGGGAGCCCCGAGAGCATGGTGAGAGCCCCAGCCCCACTCAGACCAGATGGGCCCATGGACTAGCATTGCTAGGGGAGGGGAGGATCCACCCCACTGCTGGAGATGTCCAGCTCTTGCCCTGTCAGTGCACCTCTTCCCCTCCACCCTCCCTCCCCCTGCCACCATCTGACACCTGAACCCCCTTCCTGCTGTCATGGCAAATCCCAGCCTGAGCAAGGTGGCACCACACTAAACCACAGTGGCCTCGTCACTTTGGCCAGCCTGGGGGAGGGGAGTCTCTTTACACCTGAGCTAAGCTCTCCTCTCCTCCCTGTCCCCAGGGAAAGGAAAGAAGAGCAGCTTGGCTGAACTGAAAGGCTCCATGAGCCGGGCAGCCGGGAGGAAAATCACCAGGATCATCAGTTTCTCCAAAAAGAAGCCATCACCTGAGGACACCCAGACGTCCTCCACCGAGGAGGACATCCCCTGCTGTGGTTTGTACCTAGGGCTCTGGGGAGATGGGAGTATTCTGCGTCTAGCTCAGTGGTGCGCAACCTGTGGGTCTTCCTGGGGGGTCGCCATAGCAATGGGCATAAGCCCCAGCCACGTGGATCTAAGCGCCATGCCTCGGGGCCGCCAACAGCCAGGCCCAGCCCCCAGCTGCCCGAATATAAGCGCCGCACCGTGCTGTTCAAATTACCTTAGGGGTCGCGACACGAGTACAGTGAAATATGGGGGCCATGGTTGAAAAAAGATTGTGCACCACTGGCCTAGCTGGACATGGTGTCTCAGGGGTGTGGTACCAGGTGTAAGTTGTGCCACAATGCCTTCCTCTTGCCCACTGGAGAGACCACCCAAAACAGGGATAGGGACGCTATCCCAGACACAGGGATTTCACAACTTCCTCTGAATTCTACCCATCAGTCACCAGCCCTGTGGCAGCATCTGTCACTTTGCATGACATGGAAAAGATTTCCCACTACAAGTGTGTAGCCGGGGGTTACCGCACACGCACACACGTGTACATGCAGCTGAAAGAAAACAAGATGAAATTGAATAAAGACAAATGCAAAGTGCTTGGCTTAGGAAGGGAAAATCAAATGCACAGCTACAAAAGGAGACAGTCCAGGGGAAGTAACAAAAATAAGATTTAGAATAGCTGACCTGTGAGAAAAGATTAAAAATAGTAGCATTGTTAACCTTGAGAAAAGAGGACTAAAACAGGACCTGAATACAACAGTCTCCATATATGTAAAGGGCTGTTATAATCAGGGTGGTGATCAGTTCTTCATGTCTACTGAAGGTCGGAGAAGAAGAAATTAACTGATCTGCAGCAAGGGGTATTTAGGTTACATATTAGGAAAAACTTTCTAACTCTAAGGCTTTGTGTACACTGCAGGGTTTTTGCACAAGAAGCTTTCTTTTTGCATGCAATAATTTCTTGCACAACAGCACGTCCACACCTCAAAAGCACTTTGCAAAAGCGATCTGCTTTTGCGCAAGAGAGTGTTCACATTGCAAGAAAGTTCTGATAACCATTCTGTGAATGGCTACCAGAGTACCTGTGCTTTTTGTGATAGGCTCTTTTTGTGCAAGAAAGCCCTGTTGAGCGTCCACACACAACACTTGCGCAAAAAGGAGTTATGTCTTATAGAAGGAGGTATATCTACACTGCAAAAAGCCCTCTGTTCTGCTGATTAACTGTAGATTTTCTTGCGCAAAAACATGCTTGAGGTGTGGACGCTCTGCAGGTTTTTGTGCAAAAATGCCTGGTTTTGCGCAAAAAACGTATAGTGTAGACATAGCCTCAGGGCAGTTTTGGTCTGGAACAGGCTTCCAGGGGAAGCTGTGGAATCCCCATTACTGGTCAGACACACACCTGTCAGGGATGATTAAGGGTTACTTGGTTCTGCCTCTGTACAGGGGGCTGGACTTGATGACTTCTCCAGGTTCTTCCCAGCTTTATGATCCTGTGAGTTAGTAAGTGACTCAAAATGCCCTCTGAGTCACTGCTAAAGATGCTGCTAAAGAATCCATGAAGCTCCATGTGTGTCTGTCTGCCTTACATACAACTATTGGCCCTATTCCCATAGTCCCATATATAAGTGTGTCACAGTCGGGGATGTAGCTAGCCATGGGAGACAGGGAAGTGTTGTTATCCCCTGGAGAATGAGGCCCAAAGACCAAGTGATCAGTCACGCAGGTATCTGTGGTGGAGCTGGAAATGGACTGCAGGTCTCCTGAGTCCCAGGCTAGTGCCCGGACTGCTGGGCCACTTACCTCACTAACCCTGCCCCTGCAACAGAGCAAAGGAGCATGGTGACTTTATGGGGCTTCTGCATCTATAATTTCTGTGGGCAACCCCAATCCTCTTACAAGGGCAAACAGGGGCTCCAGCAGAGATTTTGCATAGTATGAACTTACCAAAGCCCACATCAGACTTGGCCTTTATTCTGAGTTCTGCGGTTCTAAGTGGCAAAGCCATTGGTGCCCAGAGGGAGCACCCCGATCCAGTGCTTTGTGGGGGGGTTTCCACTGCTAGCATGATGTGGGGAAACGAGGCCTACCCAGCCATAGGGATATGTCACTGACAGGTCTCGATGTACCTTGGCAGGCAGAGCAGCATTCCAGACTATGGTTCTGTCTACACTGCAGTTAGACACCCACAGCTGGCCAGGGCCAGGGCCGGCCCAAGCCATTCGTGTGCCCCGGGAGCACGGCGCCGCCTCCAGGAGTGCGATGCATGCACAGCTCCAGACCCCGGGCGCCTGGTGCATGCACGGCCCCCCCAGGTGCACAGCACATGTGTGGCTCCGCCCCTGGTGCGCAGCGCATGCGCGGCACCACCTCAGGCACGCGGAACATGCGCAGTGCCACCCCTGCACAGCCCAGCAGCCCCGCACAGCACCACCTATAATGGGGTGCCCCGGGCAGTAGCCTGGTTGGTCCGTACCTTGGGTCGGCTCTGGCCTGGGCTCGAAGACCCTGTGAGGTGGGAGGGTCCCAGAAGTGAGACTGCAGCCTGAACTCAGACATCTTCACTGCAACTACAGCCGTGGGTGTCGAACTGTAGTGGAGACAGACCCCCTGAGAGAAGTACAAGTCGGGGTACTTTTTTTGGAGCCTTCCCTCTGGTTCCTATTGATTCGCACCTTTCACCTTCTTAGCATCACGCACGTTTGCTCATTAGGTCTGGCCCATAGGCACTAAGACTGTTCCCTTTGGGAACTGGCTCTCCCTGCAGGCTACCTGAATGTCCTGGTTAACCAGTGCTGGAAGGAGCGCTGGTGTCGCTTGAAAGGCAACATGCTCTATTTCCACAAGGATCGCTCCGACTTGCGCACGCATGTGAATGCCATCGTCCTGCGTGGCTGCGAGGTGGTGCCAGGCCTGGGCCCTAAACACCCGCTCGCTTTCCGCATCCTTCGCAGTGGGCAGGAGGTCGCTGCCTTGGAGGTGAGTGAGTGTTTCATTGCCAGCAGCTCCAAGTGCGGCATGCGGGCTGCTGAGGCTTTTCCTGATTCCCTTTGGAAGACATGGATGGGCTGTCTGGTCTGCTTGTTTCCTTAAGGGTCTTACCAAGCCCAGCACTGAACAAAGATGCAGAATAGATTCTAAAGGGAACCCTCCATGGACAATTAACTTACCTCTTTCCCAGCTGGGCTTTGAGATCTCAGACTCGGCCAGGTGGGCTGGTGCATGGCCCAGGCAAGTGAAATTGACTAAACCCGAAAAGGGAAGTTCTGTCTTGCTGCTGAGCCCAGCCAAATGCAGGTGATCACATAAACCCTGCTGAGCAGCTGAGACCTCTGAAATTCTCTCTGTTAATAATCTGTGGTGTAACTTGTTACTCCAGCAAGGGATATGGGGTCTTTTAAATCCAATCTTTATCTTGGCAGGATGGCTATGTGAAGTTTTTATTCTATGATTGATTAAAACATAAACATGTGAAGAACTGTTAAGTGGCTCCATATGAGTGAATGAAATATGCTAAGTAATTTCACTTGGGTCTGAATGACTGTAAATAGCAGCTGCCCAGATGCTTCCAGTATCAGCACAGAAACTGCTGAACTGGTTGAACCATGCAAATCGCAGCAAGTGAATGAAGTCCTTTGACTCTTAGCTGCAAACCAATGGTTCCCTGTACACAGGAGTGGAGCTTGGCAGAGTTGTCTGTGCTGATGGTATCTGGCTTGATGCCATTTGGAAACAGCAACCTCCTTCTGTAGGGAGGGTAACTTCTTAAGAAAACCCTGTCCCTAATCATCCCCCACCCAGAGTTGAAGACATACTGCATCTCTCAGCATGTGCGTTGCATGAGTAGAGGCCTGTGCTTTTTGCATGGTGTTGGGCCGGTGTGGGGAGGCCCAAAGAAAGGAGGTTTTGGGGGTGAGGGGAAATATTTGAGGGGGGTCAACAAAAATGTGGACAAGGGGGATCCAGTGGATATAGTATACTTAGATTTCCAGAAAGCCTTTGGCAAAGTCCCTCGTCGTAAGGCTCTTAAGGAAAGTAAGTTGTCATGGGATAAGAGCGAAAGGTCTTTCCTGGATTGATAACTGGTTAAAAGACAGGAAACAAAGAGTAGGACTAAATGGTAAGTTTTCAGAATAGAGAGAGGTAACTATGGTGTCTCCCAAGGGTCTGTCCTGGGACCAATACTATTCAACTTATTTATAAATAATCTAGAGAAAGGGGTAAACAGTGAGGTAGCAAAACTGCTCAAGATAGTTAAGACCAAAGCAGACTGTGAAGAGCTCAAAAAGATCTCACCAAACTAAGTGATTGGGTAACAAAATGGCAAATGACATTTAATGTTGATAAATGTACAGTAAGGCACATTGGAAAAAATAATCCCAATTATACATACAATATGATGGGGACTAAGGGTATGTCTACACAGCAAAGTTATTTCGAAATAACAGACGTTATTTTGAAATAACTTTCCTAGTGTCTACACAGCCAAACCTCTCTTTTGAAATTAATTTGAAATAGCGGAGCGCTTATTTCGAATTTGGTAAATCTCATTCCATGAGGAATAATACCACATTTGAAATAGATATTTCAAAAGAACTGCTGTGTAGACACATATATCGAAATAGGGGGCCTCCAGCTTTCCCAGGGTGCCCTGTTGGCCACTCCAGCCTCAACCAAGAACACTCCTCTCCCTCTCCCGTCCTTGGAGCCCTTAAAGGGGTTGACTCTGGTCACAGTGCCTGTGCCAGCTCCAAGCCTGCCATCCCAGAGCCAGCAGTCACTGCCCCTGACCCAGTGGCCCCAAAACATGAGTCAGCAAGCCACTGGCAGCCAGCCCTCCACTGCTCCCCAGGAGCCTGCCAGGGCCCAGAGAAGGCAGGCAACTTTCTGGTCCAGGGTAGAGATCCTGGACCTTATTCAGGTTGGGGGGGGCGGGATGCCCCCAATGTCCATGATCGCCACACTAGATAGAGGAATGTGGCTGTCTACAGCAGGATAGCTGCCAGCCTGACCACCAAAGGCCACATGCGAACCCAGGAGCAGGTTTGCATGAAAATCAACTTGGTCCGGCAAGACCCCCAACCCTGAGCTTCCTCTCCTCCTCCTTCCCATTGCTTCCCCCTTTCAGCTCTCTCCTCCCACGTATCCCCCTCCCCTCTCTCACCCTCTCTTTTCCTCTCTCCTGCCTTCTTTCCCCCAATCCCCCCCTTCCCTTCCCCCACACCCCCACCCAGTTTTGTTAAATAACAAGAGTTTGTGTTCATGAAAATACATGTATTTTATTTGACATCAGGAAGGGGGATTAGGGAGGGGTAAATGGAAGGACGTGAGGGAGGAACGAGGCTCAAGCCCCCAGTGGGGCAGACCAGGGAGGCTTTTAGTGCTCCTGAGGGTGGAAGCTCTCCCGAAGGGCCTCCTGGATACTGACAGCCCCCTGATGGACCTCGATGGCAGCCTGCAGAAAGTGCAGCCAGGCTTGCAGCAATGCATCCAAGAGAAGCACCAGAGTGCCCAAGGGCAGCTCTGGCTCCATGTTGCAGAGTGCTGTGGTGTCCCGAGTGAGGGCAACTAGAGCACGCAGAGACAAAATGCTTTGCTGTCACTCATCGAGGTAGGCAAGCAAGCAAGAAAAGATGAGAAGGAGGGGCGGCGGGGGGGGGGGGGGGGGGGGGGGGGAGTCCCTTTAAACACAGGCCTCAGATAGCCTCAGGCTGCAGCCACACAAAGTAACTCTTAGCAACTACCTTGAATCATACTTAGCCATCCAATCTTTCCCCTACATTGCTAGCTGAAAACTTTATTTTTAGTCTTTTTGGTGCGCTTTTAGAAAGATTTATCTTTTTTAAAAGTTTTTTTATATATATTTTTTACTTATTCCTACAATATAAGAACTAGGGGTCACCAAATGAAATTAATAGGCAGCAGGTTTAAAATAAACAAAAGGAAGTTTTTCTTCACTCAGTGCACAGTCCACCTGTGGAATTCCTTGACAAAGGATGTGGTGAAGGCTAGGACTTTAACAGGGTTCAAAAAAGAGCTAGACAGATTCATGGAGGTTAGGTCCATCAATGGCTATTAGCCACCATGGGTAGGAATGGTGTCCCTAGCCTCTGTTTGTCTGGAAATGGATGACAGAAGAGGGATCATATGATGATTACCTGTTGTGTTCCTCCTCCCCCCCCTCCCGGGGCACCTGGCATTGGCCACTGTTAGCAGAGAGGATACTGGGCTGGATGGACCTTTGGTCTGACCCAGTATGGCCGTTATTATATTCTTTTGTTAATATTGCTGTAACTCCCTGCCCATGCTCGGGGGATGGGGGGGTATGAATCTTCTACTTGGAGAGATGTGAAGGGGAGATTTGTATCCAGGGGCCGGGTGCTCATGATGATGGCTTTCTCACACCCCTAGGCAAACTGCTCTGAAGATCTCGGCCGCTGGCTTGGCCTCCTGCTGGTTGAGACTGGCTCCCAGAAAACCCCAGAGGCCTTGCACTACGATTACGTGGATGTGGAGACAATAGCCAACATAGTCACCGCTGTGAGACACTCCTATCTGTAAGGGGCTCTCCTTCCCAGCTCCAGAGCTTTCATTAGGGCAGTGCCTCTGTGTGGGAGATCCGGCTCTGGTGCAAGGCTCTCCTGCTGCGCACCCCTTCTCTGGTTGGGTCTGGGAGGCCATGCTAACCAGCTGCACCTCTACTGTGCACTTTGGGTGCATCTTGCATCTCCAAGCCTGGTGGCAACAAATCTCCAACCCATAGAATGCCGCCTCAGAGCCAGAATAAACCACTTGCCCGATGAGTCGCAGTGGGGTTAGGGACATGCGGTGGGGAAAGCAGCAAAGGGGATATGGTTTGTGGAGCCCCTGGTCATCTGTGCATTCTAGAAGTTGTGTAGGGAGCTTTGGGTCTACTGAGTGGACTTGGGCAAGTCACTGCGTCTCCCTAGGCCTCATTGCCCCCAGAATGGAATAATCTTTGCTACTGTGTTTCAAACAGTGTGGGGCACCTGCCTCTGGGAGGAGGTGCGGGTGTATGAAAGGCAAGCTGGGGCACACAAATTGTACACTGGAGGCTTTTATCAGCACATGGGGTGTGGCTGGGTAGGGGCATGGCCTGGCTGGCTTCATTGTGTGAAGCAGGGCAGCAGGATCTGCTCTCAGTAGTTTGGGGGCCATGTAGGGGAGGAGGGCACAGCTAATTTGTAAGTTTGCAAAGTGCTTTGAAATCTTTGGGTAGGAGGAGCGAGGGAAGGATGGTGCCTTCCCGCTGTGTGGGAAGGGACACCTAGGGCTGACCCACACTCCATCTTCCTCCCTTTCTCCCTAGGTGGGCCAGCGCCTCCCATGAGAGCCCGACAGACTCCTCCCGGGTGGTGTATGATGATGTCCCATACGAGAAGGTGCAGGTACAAGAGAGGCTTGTTTCCTATCACACTCCCCTCCCCCGGAAAGGCCTTGGTCCTTCTCCACCCAGCCTGTTGCGAGTCCCCTCCCCCAAGTAACTGAATGCTAGGGACAGAGGAGCCCCTTCCCCTCAGTGGCACGTGGAGCCCATGGTTTCCCGGGCAGCCACCCCATTCTGGGTGTGGATTTCTGCTCCTGCTTAGTATTGATGCCACACAGTGTCTCTGCTGGGATCTGTTTTCACCGGGTCCATCCGTGCAGGCAGAGGAGCCGCCGCGGCCGTCGGGGACCCAGGTGAAGCGCCATGCTTCGTCCTGCAGTGAGTCATCGCGCCGTGTGGACCCGCAAGTCAAAGTCAAGAGACATGCATCAAGTAGGTTCAGCACATGTGTTAGGGGGTCTCAGCCACATGGGATGTGCTATGGGAGGGGCAAGTTGGCTCAACGATTGGAGCCTCGGATCTCTGGCCACTTCCTGCCAAGCCCCAGGTCGCTAATGGCAGGAGCTGTTCCCAGCCTCTGGCTGTTCCGGGAAATGAGCTGGTGGGATCTTAGTGCTATGGAGTCTAGTGATGGTCAGAGGTGGCCACGTGTCCTTTAAGAACCGGAGTAACTGGCAGGCAGATGTGAAGGACTTGCAGCTTTTCCTTCCCAGCTGGGGCTCTGGCAAGCTGGCCTTCTGTGAGGAGTGGGGAGTGTGAACTGCCCCCGCGAAGGATAGTGTGGGGACTCCACTGCTCCCCTGGCACCGTTACCTGCCTTGATTTCCCTAACGAAAAGCCGCACCTCAGTAGGTGATGGGCAATGAGGTGCCAGCTTCCGGATGATCCTGCATGGGCTTCAGTGGGTCCCCCTGTGCCTCATGGGGAGGATGGTGTGATGCCCCTGTTCCCACAGGCAGTCTCTTCTCCCCATTGTGGCCTCTGGAAACTGATGCCCCAAAGCTGTGAGTCCTGAACTCCCTATGTCTGCCTTCACACTTTCCTCCTCAGAGGCAGGGGCGAGCATGTGAAATCCCTTCCTCATCGGTAGCATCCTTGTCTCTGCAGATGCCAACCAATACAGGTATGGGAAGAACCGGGCTGAGGAGGATGCCAGGATGTTCCTAACGGAGAAAGAAAAGCTGGAGAAGGAGAAAGCCTCTATCCGGAATGAGCTGATGACTCTGCGGAAGGAAAAGAGGGAGCTCCGAGAAGCCATTAAAAGCAGCTCGGGTATGGAGCCTGCTGCAGCCCCGGCAGGAGAGGAAATACCCGCCAACTGATCTGAGCCCAGCCCTCCAATATGGTCATGAAAGAAAACACTTAAAGCCTGTGTCTATTTCTGGAATAAGTGGCCCAGTAATCAGCCGCTTTTCCGGAATAAGCTGCGAGCTGTCTACACTGGCCCATGAATTTCCGGAAAAGCAACGATGCTCTACTGTACAAAATCAGCCGCTATTCCGGAAAAACTATTCTGCTCCCGCTCGGGCTTAAGTCCTTATTCCGGAACACTGTTCCGGAAAAGGGCCAGTGTAGACAGCCCAGTAGTTTTTTCCCGGAAAAGCACATCTACATTGGCCACAGACGCTTTTCCGGAAAAGCAGCCTGCCAATGTAGATGTTCCTTTTCCGGAAAAACTGAAAACGGAATAGTATTCCGTTTTAAGCAGTTCCGGAAATTCATGCCAGTGTAGACACAGCTTCCTAGTCTGTGGACTGTTGCTGTCTCAGCAATGAGGCTGGAAGACTTAATGCCCAGTGAAACGGGGGGGAGGGCAGAGAGTGGGCGAGGGGCTAGAACCCAGCAAAAGGTGCAGGTGTCCTCCATCTAGCTCTGCCAGTGCCCCCTAGCCTGACATGCTGCTCTGGCCATGCATCTCTGCTGGTCCAACTCTCCAGGCTTCTCCTGAGGATGAGTCCTGCACCCCCAAACCCGAAAGCCCCTTCCTCTCTTCCCCAGTTGTGTAGATAGACCCCAGCTCCCTCCTTTGCTGGCCAGGAGTGCAGTCACCAGCTATTTCTCAGCAGCAAACTCCAACCCCCACCCTGACTCCCCTCTGGAGATTCCACTGGGTTGTACCATCCTCCCTCCCAGGCCTGGCACTGCTGGCTCGCTGCTGGCCCAGCCCCAGCACAGATGCACTAGATGCTCTCCGCTGGAGCTGCTGTGCTCCTTTGTTCTTTGTACTCCTTGTTCCTGGCACCCCGTCTCAGGGCCTGCCGGGGCTGTGCCGTCAGCCCTCTGCCAAGCTGGCTATTGCTTTCCACTGGACTGGACAGAACATTGGGTCCTTGTGGTAGTGCTGAGTCAGCAGTGACCACCTCAAATGGTGCCCAACCGCACCACCTAGTGGCCAATCAGGTGTGCCTCCCTCCAGTAAGCTGGGCATACATCGTATTGTTTCCTTTTCTGCTTCTGAGCCTGACAAGCCAGAGCAGGAACTGTCCAAGTACTGCAGTAGAACCCCAGCCTGCCGAATCCTTCGGCAATGGAGGCTGTTTACAACCCTGAACGACACTGAGGGCTGTTCTTTCAAAAGCTTACAACCGAGCACTGACTTAAATCTGCTTTGAAACTGTACTATGCAGATGAAAAATGCCGCTTTCCCTTTATTTTGTTGGTAGTGCGCATTAAACATCGTGCCGTGTGGTATTTGGAGATTTTGTATCTGCGGCTGCCTGACTGAGTGGCTGACTGGTCAGTCTGTAACTCTGAGGTTCTACTGAACTCAAACCCTGGCAGAGGAAGCTTCAGGGGGTTAGTCTGTACAGGATAAACTTAAAAAACAACAAATGGTCTGGTAGCACTTTATAGACTAACAAAACATGTAGATGGTATCATGAGCTTTCGTGAGCACAACCCACTTCTTCAGAAATGTTTTCCTCCTAGCAGAGGAATGAGGCTTCAGCACAGTATGGTTAAAACAGGTATCTGGACCCTAGAAACAGGCCCTCATTAGAACAGCTGATACGAGATCTCCCAGCCGGAGGCACATCGTGGCTGCCCCCTATACCCAAAAGGGCACTCACTGGGGGAGGAGGGTAAATAGGGCTCTCCTGGGAGACCCTTCACTCTACAAACCCCATCCCATCTCTCCACGGCTCTGTGTTGGAACCTGACTGGCCTCGTTCCTTGCCTCCTTTGGTCAGGGAGGAAGCTGAAGGAGCTGGAGGATCGGGTGGCAGCCTTGGAGGAGCAATGCAAAGGGAAGGAGGAGCAGCGCGTGGACCTGGAGCTCAAGCTGACGGAGGTGAAGGACCAGCTGAAACAGTCGCTAGCAGGAGGGCCAGCTCTGGGGCTCACTGTGCCCAGCAAGGCTGAAAATGGGGTATGATGTCACTTTCTTTTCAACAGGCCTAGTCTTCCAGAGTGTTCCTGCTCCCCAGCAGAGGGGCAGGACTCTGTTTTTCTGTTGGCTATTGCCTGCTTGGGGATGGAGGCACCTCAGTGTTTAGACCCACAGCCTCGCCTCTGCTCTGCTCACCCCATTCCACCTGAGGCAGCATTGCTCTGCAGCCCCTGACTGCCTTGTTATTTGGCCATTCCAGTCCTAGGATTTTCCCCAGCTGGGCTGTGGCCCCTCAGCCATATCAGTCCTGGGCTCCCACCAGCTTAGCACTGCCCCTCACTGCTCAGACTGTCCCAACAGTCCAGTAGAGGATGGGAAATGGTCCTTGTCACATTTGGAAGTCATGGAATGTGCTTTAATCTGGGTTCTCTGATGGTCTCCCCTGCTGTTGTCACTGCTTCCTGGGTCTCTGAAGGGTTATTCTTCCCCTCCTCTCCTTCCAGGAGACTGGAAATAAGCCAAATGGGAGCCCTGTGGAGCACCTGGTCCCTGTGAACTGTGCAGCAGAAATGAGGAAGAGGAGCCCCTCCATCATCCCTGCCAACAAGGGGAACGTGCTGCAGAAGGCCAAGGTACAGCTCTGCTCTCCCAGCCCAGCAGCACCCCCCTCAGCCTCGCCAGGAGATCTTTGGATGTCACATCATCCCTAGACCACAAGGCTGGGGAAACAACTGGTTCCCCTCCCCCTCCCATTTCTGCCCCCAACACCACATTCTAATGCATCAGCAGCTGTGCCAGTTTCTGCAGAGCTCCTGGCCAATGCCTGCGCTCTGGCTGCTAAAGGATGGGAAGCCTAGAGGTGTGGAGCATCAGGCTGGCTGGGGGATCTCATGGAAGAGGAGCCCATGATCCTGACTTCCAGGCAGTGGTGGTGGCTCAGTCCCTGAAGACAGTGGAATCTAGAGTCGGCAAACCCCTGTAGCAGGCAGCAGTATAAGGATCTGGCCTGGCCTGGTCCCTGAATGGCTGAGCTAAATTGGGCCTCATCAGGCTTTGCACATCTCTAATTTCTACACAGTCTCTCTCACAAGCAAAAGAAGCTACTTAGAACTAAACCCTGGCCCACCAGGGTGCATCGTTGCTGCAACTGAACGCTCCTGGATGGCCCATGTCAGCTGAACTGGGCTCATGGTGCTCAGGGTATGGGGCTATAAAACTTCCATGTAGATATCTGGGCTCACATCTGCACTGCGATTGTACAGCCCAAGCACCATGAGCCCGAGGCTATGTCTATACTAGAGGGAGGGGTTGGAAAAAAAGGCTGTTTTTCTGAAAAAAACTTGAATTATGTCCACACTGCAATTGCATTCTTTCGGGAAAAAAATCAAAAGAACAGAGGGATTTTTCCGACATTGGTAAACCTTTCTATGAGGAAGAATGCCTTTTCTGAAAGAGCTCTTTCGGAAAAAGACATGTATGGACGGGGAAGAGGGTTTTTTTTCGAAAGAAGAGGCCTCCAGGAAAAAGCACAGGTGCTCTGGTGGCCACTCTGTCCATAGTAATCACAACTTAAATGCGAGATAGCATCCAATCAATGTGGATGCCATCTTTCAAAAAAGCAGATTGCTTTTTCTATGCACTTTGGCAATGTGGACACTCTCTTCTGGAAAAGCTTCTTCTGATAGAAGCTTGCAGTCTAGACATAGCCTGAGTCAGCTGCTGTAGGCAGGCAGCCGGTGTTCAATGTCCAGGTAGTCCAGGTACCGCTTCCAGCTCCTGAGGGCTACAGCTTTTGGGCCTGATTTGTTCTGCATGGCAGCCCCCCCTGAAATGTTTTGTTTTATTTTTCCCTATGCTGCAGGAATGGGAGATGAAGCAAACCTAACTGGGTCAGCCAAGCCTCTCCTGCAGCAAACAGACCTGGGTCCTGGGACACACTGAAGAGCTGCAAGCCTCTTTCCCCAGGGAGAGTAGAAGATGATTCTGGGGAGTGTGGGGCTCTAGCAGGAGGATGGGGGAATGGATCAAGCACCCACCTTCTAATGATGGGCACGTTTGGCAAGAAGACAAGACTGGGTGTGGGGGAGAGGGGAGGGATCTTTGGGATGGGGGGAGGGGGAATGTTTCAAGGTTCAGGCTCCCATGCAGCTGGGAAGCCAAGCTCTGAGAAGGAGCACCCTGCTAAGACTGTCGTGTCAGCCATCCCCTTTGATGAATTTTGCTCTTGGTGGAAAAGGGGAGCATGAGCTAGCAGGACGTGCAGGTAACTCAGAGTCAGAGCGCCTGGGTTCTCATCTTGATTGTGCCTCAGGTTGTCTGTGAGTTTCAATTTTGCATTACCTCCTATTACTGTTTCCCTCTCTGTCAAACATGGGTCAGTATGCTCTGTCTTTCAGCCAGAGGTGGGTTGGGCTTTCATTATAGGCATTACATAGAACTGGTGCTATTCACAGCCTATTTTACAGGATCAAGCCATTGGTATAATTGGTCCATTAACTCAAATCAGAGCAGAGATGGGAGAGAGCAGCTCCGTGTCCTTCCTCTGCTGTGGCCATGCTCAGAGGCCCTGGTGCTTGTACACTGTTATCTCTAGTACTTTGCCTCTGACTTAGTCTGTGTGTTCTGCCCTGCTGCAGAGTGTCTTCTGTCACACAGCAGTTGTACTCTAATAATATTTTTTATACATCAGGTAAATTCAGCAAAAGGGGGGAATAGGAAGCTGTGACTCTCCTACAGGGATGAGGCTAAAACTTGGAAATAGCCACTGATTTTGGATGTTTTATTGTTGGGGTTCAGGAGTTGCCCAGGACACAACTCTCAGAGCTCCAGATCACCCACATTTTCTCCTGACCGCACGTGGAGCTTGGTGTGCTCAGCAGCCTTGAGCAGTGGGGGCCTGGTTGTCTCAACTTTGTTTCTGGCTCAACTATTTGCTGTATCCCTAGTCTCCTTCCTGCTGCGCTCCAGAGCAACCCAGCCCAATGCATGGTGAGGGCTGGCTGCCATTGGAGCACAAACACTGGAGAAGCTCTACTGACAATATTTGAAAGCATCCCCATTGCGCCTTCCTCAGTATCTGGCAGGGGGTGGCATATAGAGCCTCCTCCTCAAAGCACTACCCAATGGTGAACTGTGTGGGGAAGGGAGGGAAGGGGAAGAAAAGATGATGGTATTGCCTGAACCAGTGGTACATCCTCAACACTGAATGTAGGGCAGGACACCTCCTCTTCCAGAGTGTGTTGCTGAAATGGAGAAGGGCTGGGAAGGGGGCAAGAACAGAGTGAGGGAGCAATTTCAGCCAATTTTGTATGGAGGAGAGAACAGTCAGCCAGC